TTATTAATAAGAAGAGTTGAAATTAAAGCATGCAATATTTCACAGCTCTAGAATTACTCCTTCATAGTCAGCCTATGAACTTTTCAGCCCACCCTTGAATATCACCAAGGTGGACTGGCACTTGAAGATAAACCAATGAGGAATCAATTTTTGAAAAGATTTTCTTATCGTGCAGCTTAGATGATAAAGAATTTATAATCGGTACTTGGTACAAATCTAATTTTGTTATTGAATTTAATTGCCTGTAGTCACCTGCAAACCTGTATGTACCATTCGACTTCTATACCATGTGTAAGGTTGAACTCATTTCTGATTTTGAAGGGGATATTATTCCAGCTTTTTGATGTTTTTTTTCTGTTCTGATAGTTGTTGTGGTTTAGAAATGTGAGTTGCTACCAGTTTTGATCCCATGAAAAACTTCAGTTTTACGGCATTAGGGTTGCAATGAGGTGAAATTATATTTGCATATTTTTCCATAATTTTCTTGGTTCACTATGCTGCTCATAATCTCAGGATGTGGCGTTGCGTTAGACTGTCTGTTAGTTGTTGTGTTGATCATTATATATGTGGGCACATGGCCGAGTGGTTAGAACATTCGCATTCTGAGCATGAAACCCGGGTTCAAATCTCGCCATAAGCAATTTGTCAGGAAAAGACTTCCTGGATAAATTTATGTCAAACAATAAATTCACCAACTCCAATGTGACTGGCTAGTGATATAAGATCATTTTGGTATTGTGGTAACTACTACCACCATTACATACACACAGTACATAGAAATCATGCGACAAGCATTCATTGGTTGATCTCCACAAAACTAGCTTGCTGATTGGTCAATTCCGACCAATCAGATATCCTGCACATGAGGAATGAAATTTCCCGCTCACTAAGGTTGAGCTGATCACGTGATACCCAGCCTTATATAAACAAAACATGTGTAAGCTCTCTCTCTTTGCTTTCTCATTCATCTTTCTCCTTGCTGCCAAGATGTAATCTTTAAGAACTCCCGTCTTGACCATGCGGTCAGACGTTAAAGAACATTACCAATTCACGCAAGTACGAACTCTTAACTGTTCTGCACACTTACCAACTTTATCCAATTCACATTTCCTTACATGCTAAAGGAACTTTATTCTTCTAAGCTACAGTTTAATAATTGCTTCATCTTTTTGAGCTCAGGTACAAATATTTCCAAATCTAAGAGACATAACTTCAGCTTATATGCATGTACACCAAACACTAATAAATTCAATTGTTGTGTTTTGAATCATTACATTCTGTCTTGTATTTTATACTATGTGCTATTTTACATCAAATATAAATTGCATTGTGCATGCCACATTGGATAGTAACCTCCAGCGTCTTTGCTTTCCTTAATCACGCCTTTCCTAGTCAAAAGTAAAATATATGTAGTAACCACCCCCTACAGTATAATGAAGGACATCCTGTCATGTTGGAAGATGACATCAATTTGTTGGGCATCTTTGGTTTATTTTTTTTTGTGTGAGCTTATTAAGGCTTCTTTTAGTTTTTCGTAGTCCTCTGATTAGAGCATAGCCAGTTGTAATTTTCCAACTATACCTGAAGGCTAGTGATGCGAGTATTAAATAAAATTTTTGCTGTGCTATTTTGATGTTTATGATTCAGAACTGGGCTTCCATGATCAAAAACCACGCTTACACATTAGATTCAATGAAGACATGTGTCTTCACCGATACAGCCTGTATTGAATGATGTTGTCCAGGGGACATCTGTTTACTTTCACTGTTGGACATGTTTTAATTTTTTTTATTTTTCATATATGTGTCAGGTATGTTAGAGTTTACGATCTATAGGGGAAATTTTTTGTGGATGCATAAGGAAGAGAATAAAGGAGCGAGAATGTAATTATATATGTGTAGGCGTTATGGATGTTTGCTATCCATTTCTAGTTCCGCTGCTTGAACATGTGGGGAAGGAAAGTATGTTTGTTTTCAATGTAGTAAGGAACAGTTTAGCCATGTAATATCACCTGCTACTTATGCAAATGTTGTCTTTTGTCTCTGGGTATGTTATGATGACTGTAGTATCGGAGAATGGACAAAATTAATTGGATAGTATAGGCAAAATTAATTTATTAACTCTGGTTTTGGTCAATTTTCCATCTGTTTATATAGATCTGCTTTAAAAAGGCTGCCCACTTTTCATTGTTTCATGGCTTTATATCCTGGTTGTGAAAGCTTTCTGATTGGTTGGTTGAACTATGGCTTTTTTTTTGTTTGTCTGGTGATTTTGATTATCCATCTATTTTTAAAGATGATGAAATTTTGGTGTTCCTGTTATTTATTTTTATTTATTTATTTCTCTATAACCACAGTATTTCTTTCATTTTACTTCTCTCGGTTTTACACCAAGTAGTAATACTGTTAAGCTGTCTGAATTTGTAGAGAAGCAGCTGAGAGTTTTAGTAATATTTATTGGAAAATTTGGAATACTTTGAAATAAATGAACAGAATTGAAGATATGAACAAATAATATGAACAAATATTTAATCAACTTCAATATGGGGCATTTCTTTATAAGTCTGGTTGGTGAAAGTTTGTTAGGCTTGGTAGTTGTTAGTTAATGAGTCAGTCTTTGATAGTGGTCATCATCTTGTTGGCAGGTATCAGAAGTGTGGTTACTTTGGAAACATGCTGTGGCGTAAATATGTAGAAAATATCGTCCCTCAAAAGGGTGGATAAATGTCTTAAACAGACTACTACTAAGTTCTTTACATGACATGCTTAGACCTGTTTCTGGCTCTCTCCACTGCTGCAATCTGTTGGCTGTCTCTTTATATACAATTCTGAAAGATTCCAGACTATTTCTTACCGAGCTTGGTTTCAACTAACATCAAAAGTTTCTTTGTTCTTTTGATGGGCCAAATTTATTTTATTTATTTTCCTTTCTTTTTTTTATAGTGGAAGTTATGTATGGAGCCTCTTTTCTTTTTGATTGATTTCTAATCACAATAACTAGGCCCTGGACTAGCAAACTTCGATTTTGCAGTTGTTGTTCAGTTTTTTCATTATCTTTTTATATAAGAGTTGCCTTGTTGCAGAATTTATGCTAAGTAAGATGTGTCAGAAGGTGAAATTGTGTGAAGGCCTAAAATGTGCATGTACATTATGCATTTATCAACAACAAATAAATTAAATGAACATATGAGGACAATACAATTTGGAGAAATCAAGGAAAAACAACGTAGTTATAGATTTCAATAATAACATGAATTTATATATATATTTGATATACACAAAGTGATGATAGGTTGCTTGTTAAATGTGGCAAGTGAGATAAGATTGCAAAGAGTGTGCATGCAGAGATTTGATGAGTGAATGTTGATGGTTTAAGTTTGTTTGTGAAATTAAAACAGTTTGATTTCTGCAAGGAAAAATGTCAATTGTGTGAGTTCAAATAATAGTTTGTATGTGTGTGATGATTGTAAGTGTTGATTCAAGTTAGGAAGAGTTGTGTGCCTTTGACTGATATGCTAAGGTTGATTAAATGTACAATTACTATTTGGTAGTGATAATGTCACTTTTTTTTAGTAAATTGTAAGTTAAGTTTCTTCACGCGGCAATAGTAGTGCGAGTTGTGTTGAGTTGATGAGAGGCTGGTAGTGTTATTGAGTCAGTGTGTTGGCACACGTGGAGTCTGCTGGCATCTCTTAAAAACTCAGTGTCTGACTGACCTGAATTAAGTCGAGTGATTTTTTTTTATAGATTTTTGGGTTTTCAAATAGGCTCTAGACAGCTGTGCAGGGGGGGAAAAAGGATTTGTCTCAACTTGCTACATTTTTGTGTCCTTTTAACCAATGGGAAGTTGAGTTTGGAAAAGTGAAGTGATGATTGGTTAAAGGTTAATTTGGGGAAGAGTGCATCTTCTGTGGGGGTGAGGATTCCATAGCCTTCTCATTAGTTAAGAGAGAAAGGGTAGAGAAAGAGAAAAAGAGATATGGGTTTTTAAGGAAAGCAAATGCCTGATTTTAATTTTAATTTTTTTAATATTTTATTTTCATCTTTTATTTTTACATTTGGGTGCTCCACAAATTTTATAGATAAAGCATTGTCAGTTACTATTAATTTTTGACTAGTATTTCTTTCATCTTATTTCTCTTGCTTTTTTACCAAGTAGTAATAGTCTAAGTTGTCTGAATTTTTTAAATGAATCATTGTCAATTATTATCTAAGTCTTGACTAGTATTTCTTTAATTGTATTTTGCTTTACACCTAGTCCTCTTAAGTTGTTAACTTTTTCAGATAATTGAAATTGCTTTTCAGTTAAAAAAAAAAATCCTTAAAAGGATATTCTAATGCTAATCTCTGTGATGGTGGGAATTTTTTAACGTTGTAAAAATTGCTTTATTTTCATATCAAATTATGTTTGTCAATGCTTAACATTATCGTGGTAATAAGACATGAAACATCACAGGTGAAGAGGTTATATGTGCATTCAAAGGCCAAAGTTCAGGGTCTTAGTGCAAAGTGGAAAAAAAAAAGTAGTAGTAGTAGTAATCGAGAAAGGTCACTTCCTGTTTTCTCGTCCACGCGAGATCTCGCCGCCCAGTCCCGTTTACTGCAACACGGGAGTGACGACGGCAAAACGAATTCGACGGCAAGCATGGAGATGGAATATCAGTAGGGGACACATACGTATATATGCATATATTTTCTTTGGAACCCTCCCTGCTAGTTTTGCTGTCCTTCTTAGGTTCCTCCTCCCTGTTAAAAGTCCTCTAAATAACAGTGACTTAAAGAACAAGAGTGAAACCAGCCTGAAGCTGATGTTGTAGTTCGTTCTTTTTTTTTTTGTTTTTTTTCCCTAGTTTTAAAAAAGAAAGTAAAAAAAAAAAAAGTAAAAAGAAAGAAAAAAAGAAAGAAACAATTTTCCCCACCCTCAAACTGAAAAGGGATATATATGTATATATATATATATATAAAACCAACAACAAGAAGGAAAAATGTCGCTGTTTGAAAATGCCCTACTATCAGCCGGAAACGTCGTTAATATTAAGAAAAGTGAGGAAAATAAGTCTAATAATGTTGTTGTCGATGATGCTGTAGTATTAGCACCATTATTATTAATAATATCATCTGTGGTCAGTCCTACTAATTGTTGTAGTGATCCAAATTCTTCTTGGTTTGTTGTTCCTGCTCTTTTATTATCACTTTCCTGTCATTATTTCCATTCTCCTCCTCTTGATTGTCAATTCCAGAATAGTACACTTTACCAACCAGTCTCAGATTGATCTAGAGAGAAAAGACCAGAAACAAACAAAAAAAACCTATCCCCCAAGAAAAAAAAAACCCTATCCCCCCAAGTAAAAAAAACCTCTTCCTCTTTAAATCAGTCTTTACTTTTCTAGCTAATTTTTAAAATTAAAATAAGTATTGCACCTTTTTCTTTAATCATCTTTAATTATTATCTTCTTTAAAAATCCTTACATTATTTTTTGACAAAGCAAAATCCAAAACATTTACTCCCCCCCCTTTTTCCTTCTTAAAAGAAAGCTTCTTCCTTCTTCACGAATTCTTTAAAGTTTGATTTAAAATTAATAAAAAAAAATTATCTTAATTTAGTTTTAATTTGCTTTAATTAATTAAACAGCGAACACGTAGTTTAGTCATTTTTCTTTTGGTTTCTCCCAAAAAACATAGCAATATAACAAATCTTTAAAATTTTGTTTATATTTAATAAATTATTTAAATATAAAAGAAAAAAATAGATCTCTGATTTTGTGAACAAGTGTAAAAAAATAAAAATAAAATACAAACTTGGTAATAAAATAAAAATCTTTATATATTTTCATAGACTTTTTCAGTTTATTTGACAGCATTTTTGCGTTGTACATTTATTCCGGCATTAGTGAACCAATAATAAATTTAGTTTATTATACTTTCATAAACTGAAACTAATAAGCTTAGCTTCTTGTAAGACTTTATTTAATTAATATCACTATCTTGTAATTTGTATTTATTTCTTATATTAAAAAAGAAATCTAAAAAATAATCGATTTCTTTTTAGATTTTTCTAGAAATAAGTTTTAAAAGAGGAAGAGAAAAAGACTAAAAATTGGTTTTCCATTTAACTACAATAAAAGTAAAACCATTAACGTCCTCTCGTTTTTTAGTTTTACTATATAGAATATAAATTGTGTTTATCTTCTGGCAGGTCACACCCTTTTTCTTATCTGATACCTTGGGGGGTACATTAAATTATTTTTTTATTTTAAAATCAACCTATATTCATTTGGAGTAATAACTCCACAAACTTTTCTCTAAATTTCCTCTTCTACCTCTTTCTTTGTAGACACTGTATATAAAATACTCACTTTATTTAATTTCTCTTGTAATAATCCATTTCTCTCCTACCTTGTATTGACGACAACATTATTATTCTTTCTTTAGTAAAGAGTAAAGACAAACTTCAATATGTATTTCTTTATTAAATTGAACTAACTTCATATATGACTTCATAATTCATAATAAGCTGTTATTTTTTTTCGATAGAGTAGACTGTGTAATAAATCTGTTTAAAACAAATCTACATATTTTTTTTATGTGTAGATTTTTAAAAGAAAGTATTAATTTCTTTTTCAAGATCCCCCCCTCTTCTTACAACAAAAGGGGAAAACTTCCCCTACCCACTGGGAAAAAAGTGATACAAGACTCGGGTTGACATTTTAAATACACGCAAAAACAATATATATATTATTTATTTTAGTCAACCATGGTGACTGGAGACAACAGACAGATAATACCAGCAGATGTGAGTTATTTTATTTATTTATTTATATTTTTTAATTATGAGATTTAAAATTTTCTGTTGCTCTTTCCACCCCCGCAGGACACGTGTTGAATCAACCTTACCTTTTTACACGTGTTTTCTTAAATGGACGAGAATGGCACCCAAGGGGGGGGGGCTTATCCCCCCCGCCCGATTCTTTTTTCTTCTTTCACTTAAATCCACCATCTGAAATACTTTTTTTTGTGTGTTTATTGGCAAAAAAAAAGTTAAAAAAGGTTAATTTGTGAATATAAATAGTCATCATGACTTAATTAATTTACGACCCCTAGTTAAATTTATACTCTGAGCATTTTTTTTCAAATTAGAGACATTGACATTCATTTCAGGATGAGTAACAAATCGTAAATAAATTTTCTTAAATCAAACAAAATTCAAAACTTTTTAAAGTGTAAAAAAAAAAAAAAAAAAAAAAACATACTTACTTAGGGATCAACTCCTAAAAATAAAAATACAACAAATGCCCCCTTTTCAAATAAATATTTATTTCTACGATTTTTCTGTCTTTTTTTTTTTTTTTTTTAAATTTAAAAAAAAAAATTCAATGTAAAATTTTAAATATTTTTATATTTTCTTTTATTAGGTCATTGGGTCATTTCTACTTGGAACTTTACTTGGATGACATAATTTTAAAATACTTTGTCACCTTACTGACTCGAAGTTTTTTTTTCTTTCCTCTCTAATTTATCCAAATACTTTTAAATTTATATAGCGAATGAATTAGTTAATATTTATTTTTATCATCAGAATATTTTTTTGCCTCTAAATCAGATTTTCAGTGTCCAAAGAGCAGATATTAACGTTCAATAAAATAAAAATGTCAAGTAAAATAAAACAAAATATTTAAAATATCTGTAAAAAAAAAAAATCTTTTTAAATGTGTTGCGCATAATTTAGGAAAATTTAACTTTTTAAAAAAGTCATAATTTAATTTATGACTTAATCCTCTTTTAATTTGTTTGATCTGGAAGAACAATGTCATTGTCAACAAGTAAATAAATGCCATCACTTTTTTTTATTTTTGTTTTAATAAAATGACTTTTTTTCTGTGTAAAACCAAACAAAAGATGTATTTTGTTAATATTTCTCTTAAATTAGCTTTAAAAATGTATTTTTACTGAGTAAAATAAAATCATTCAGTCATAATAATTAATATAAATTTTTTTATAGTTTCCGTTGTAAACGCGTCTCATGGATTAAAAGAAAAAGAATCTTCATTTCAATGCAACGAATGAGAAAAATATCAAATATCTTGAATTAAAATCTCTTCTAACCTTGAAGCAAATCCCATTTTTAAAACCCTGTCTTTACACAAGATGCAATCTTAGCAGGGAAAGCATTATGAGGCTAAGAATGATTTTTTTTTTTTTTTTAAAGATGTCAAGTTTTTCTTCTAAAAATAGTTAGTGTGTTAGCTGAAATTTTACCTTTCATAAGAAACCCTAAAAAAAATGAAGTAAGGACAATGAAATATGTTTTAACTTTTACTTTGCATGACGAAATTTATTTGGCATTTCTTTTTAATTTGAAATCTTTTTATAATTAGAAAAATCTGCATTCTACAATTACCAAGAAAAATTATATAGTGAAGCTCAATTTTTTTTCTTTTGTTGTTTTCGGCCAAAGGCCAGATAAATGATCTTCTTGATGGTTAAAAAAAAAAAAAAAGATAAAAAATTGATCATTCTCTCTCTAGTCTGTGTCTTCCAACTATACTTCCGTACTTGAGTTTGGAGCTGAAATTTTACTTTTAAAAGTTAGGGTTACTGACAAAAAGATCATTACTTGAGCTGAGATATTTTTTTTCTTCAGCCCAAGTGATAAAAATAAATAAGTAAAAGTAACTCCTAGACTGAAATTATTCTTGTAATAATAATCCTGCTATCTTTGAAGAATGACTGTTTATTAGTGTTTACTAAGTTTAGTGCAGCACGTGGCCAAAACTGAAGATAGGAAGGTTATTTGCATCGATCTTTTAAAGTGGAGAGAGTGATGTACTGACATTTTTTTTTTACCTGAACGGAAACAGCATAAAAAAAGTATGCAACAATCTCGGCCATTAGTCAGCCTATATAAATACATAGTATGACACAAGGCTACAAGTAAATGGGCATCCACACTAAGGATTGAATTTGCTTTTAGTATTTTTTGGTTATTTTTTTTCGGCTCAGTTTAACTCTTTGGTTCTAAACTTCTACTTGGGTTTTAGGGCATGGATTTCTTCATCTCTATGTATCAGCTATAGACTATAACATTAACAATGACAAAATTAACTCTGAGAAATTAAGGAACTCTTGTCATTCTGAAAATTCAGATACCAAGTTACAAGTGCACGTCTGGGTGAGAGTTTTTCTTAGTGACTTTAACTTACAATACGAGCGAATTGGTTTTCTTTTCAAGCTGATCTTGTTAACCACAACACTATGGTAACCAAACTATTAATTGATGCTATTTTAAGTAACATAACTGAATGAATAAACAAATGTTTGCTATATCTCCAGCCATAGATGAAATCTACACAACGTGAGTTACGTGTAACAGATGTTACCGCATTAAAAGGGGCAGATAAGCCAGTTTCAAATAAACGTAGGTCGTTTGAAAGTAAAATTAATATTTGATTTCCATAAAGTGATTAAATTGCGTCATGGCTTGTGTTAGAGACAATTTCAGTGACTGTTTTTATATTTTTTTTTAAATATCATTTGAACCTAACAAATAAAGACACTGGTGGGGGTGGATATAATGACGACTTGAATTTGAAATAAGTTTAAGGTTAGAATCTTGGGCATTGTTCTGAAAATAACTGCATTGAATAGTTGATATTGTTTTGTGGGGATTATTTGAGAATTCCACGTGAAATAAGAACAGTCACCAGACTTTTAAGAACCAAAGAAAATAGTTCTGATTAATAAATAGAATAGTTGGGGGCAGGGGAGTAGCTGAAGAATAATTAAAAAGTTTTGTCTTTTTTTCTCTTTTAAAGATAATGCTTTGATTATTTTATGGATATTTTATTTTGACTGCATGTAAGACTCATGAGTGTATAAGACGCACCCCCAATTTCAGCAGGGAAAATCAAGAAAAAATTAGTAACTAGTAAAATTAGTAAAATTAGTAAATGGTACAGCCTAGGCTATATTTATGAGGTATTATTTTGGTTAAACAAGCCTTGATTACAATTAAATGAAAAATAATAGGAAAAAGAATACAAGGATATAAAAACTTTATTATATCCAAAGGTAAGAAAACAAAAACAATTGAGCAAAACAGTACAGTTACCATTAAAATTTTCGTCTTCAAATTCGTTGTCTTCGTTATCAAAACTCTGATACTCATTTTCAATACTACTATCATCGTTGTTAAATAATGTCATCTTCCATTCCATTGAGAGCATTGCTAATGCCACACTTTTTAAAAGCTTTCATAACAATTTTTGGTATAATATTATCCCAGGCTTGCTTCACCCATTTGCAAACTTGTGCAATGTTGGGTCTTTTTATTCTTCCTGTAAGTGTAAGGTTGTGATCAGGCATTGCCATCTACGTGTTCTATTGCTCCTTCATGTTTAAGACTAAGCTGATAGGAGTTGCCAGGTAGCTAATTTTGGCAGGCTATTGTGAATTTTAAAACTACATATTGCATATAAGATGCAGGGGAATTTTAAAAAATATTTTTAGTAAAAAAAAAAAATAAGTGTGCCCTATATGCCATCAAATACGGTATATTCAAAATAATAATATTACCAATTATAAACACATGCCAAAAACCTGACATCACTAATCTGTATGTAAAAAAACGTTTCCAAATCAATATGTGAAAACCAAACATAATGTCTACTAGTTATACACACACACAAATGTACATTATCATCAGAAATCCCACATAGACAAACTAGAATTATTATAGACTTACATCGGGGAAGCTCGTGCCGTGGCCCTAGATATCTCCAAAGCATTTGATAGTGTTTGGCATGCTGGCCTTCTTCGCAAGCTCCGGGGTTATGGCATTACGGGTCGATTGTTTGACCTAATATAATCATTCCTGTCAAACTGTGAATTGAAGGTCGTTCTCAATGGATTCTCCTCCAGTTCCTATCCCACGAATGCAGGTGTTCCTCAAGGCTCCATCCTAGGCCCCACTCTATTCCTTATCTACATAAATGACCTTCCTGATGCCATAAATTCCCAAGTTGGCATCTACGCGGATGACACCACAATTTATTCCTGCCTCAAAAACAAATCTAGTGTCACTGACAAAAATAACCTGGCCGTGCGTCTCGAAAAGAACCTCCAATCAGTTGTGGACTGGGGCAGGAATTGGCTGGTCAACTTTAATGCTTCAAAAACGAAACTGCTCTCTATTAATCACCACAGAGATCCTTCCCTGCCCTCCATTAGAATGTCTGACGCTCAACTTCTAGAGAGCACCTCTCTGCGGCTGCTCGGTCTCACGTTGACTGCTGACCTGAGATGGAACAAATACATTGAGTCAATTTCTTTCGTCCACCGCAAGGAAAGTTAGCTCCTGTGCGCCAGGAAATTTTTCTCCCAGAATCGATCCTTCAGATCTACAAATCAACAATTCGCCCTTGCATGGAGCATTGCTGCCATATATGGTCTGGAGCCCCTTCTGTTTGCCTTGGGGTTCTTGATAGGCTGCAGAGGCGGATATGCAATATAATTGGCCCTGATCTGGCATCTCGTCTACAGTCACTTTCTCACAGATGCGCCGTTGCCTCTCTCTGTCTGTTTTACAAATACTTTCATGGCAATTGCTCAGGGGAGATGCATTTGCTGGTTCCCAGACTTCATGAGTTCAAGCGCCCTACGAGGCTGGCATCCCGCTCTCACCCCTTCACTGTTGAAACTCTTAAATGTAGCTGTCTCTTCTACTCCAATAGCTTCATGTCTCGCACCTCTCGCCTGTGGAACTCCCTTCCCTATTCCAGTTTCCCTGAGAACTAT